ACATCATAATTACATTAGCCAAGGTTAAAGATAAAGAGAGAATCCTAGAAGCAGCAAGAGATAAGGAGACAGTTACCTACAAAGGAGTTCCCATCAGACTGTCAGCTGATTTCTCAAAAGAGACCTTACAGGCAAGAAGGGGCTGGAAAGAAGTATTCCAAGTGATGAAAGGCAAGGACCTACCTCCAAGATTGCTCTATCCAGCAAAGCTTTCATTTAGAATGGAAGGGCAGATAAAGTGCTTCTCGGATAAGGTCAAATTAAAAGAGTTCATCATCACCAAGCCCTTATTTTATGAAATGGTAAAGGGACTTATCTAAGAAAGAAGATAAGAAAAAGAAGATAAAAAACATGTATAGTAAAATGACAGCAAACTCACGATTATTAACAACCACAACTAAAACAAAAACAAAAACAAAATAAGCAAACAACTAGAACAGGAACAGAACCACAGAAATGGAGAACACATGGAGGGTTAGCAACAGGGGAGTGGGAGGAGGAGAGCAGGGAAAAGGTATGGAGAATAAGTAGCATAGACGGTAGGTAGAAAATAGACAGGGGGGCAGCAAGAATAGTATGGGAAATGTAGAAGCTAAAGAACTTATGACACAAGGACATAAACTAAAGGGGGGGAATGTGGGTGGGAGAGAGTGTGCAGAATGAAGGGGAATGAAGGGGGAGTAATGGGACAACTGTAATAGCATAATCAATAAAATGTATTTTAAAAAGAAAAGAAAAAAATAATTTAAATATTTCATTGTGTATGTATGTAGAGAAAAAGGCATTAAGGTACCTGGAGCAGAACAACTAGAAGCTTGCAAATTCTTGTGGAAGCCGTGGAAAATGAGAAAGCCAGTCTCCTGATCTCTCCACAGTTGCTGACAGATTTCTGTACACACCTCCCTAACTTGCCTGAAAGCACAGCCAAAGGAACCCATCATTGAACCTTGGAAAGGATCCAGCAAAGTGTCATGTTCCTTGAGGAGCAGGCTGCTTCCATGAGACAGCATCTGCATCCCCAGAAGAGGAGGAAGACTGGAGAAAGGCAGCCCAAGAGCTGGTGGGAATTCCTTTGCAAACAGGACCAAAACAGTACCGTGTGAACTGAGACCTGGAGGCGTCCCTGAAGATGGCTCAGCTAGGTCTGCAGAGCGATGATCTGGTCCAGGCAGAGGCTTCCATAAATCCAGCCTCATTGCTTCAGAGCAAATCAACCAGCAAGTAGTTACAGGTACACGATATGTATGCCATGCACATGCTCTTGATTTTAGAAGGAAATTCACTGAAGCTGCCCAAAGGTACAATGAGCTCTCTTACAAGGTGACAGGGCATGAAAGGAGAAGACTAGAGGCTTTAGAACCTCCTTGGCACTGAAACATCTTAACATCAGCAGGACAACAGTGTCTTGAATACTAGCTACTGTTTTTGAGGGTGAACAGGGCCAGCAACCTGCTGCTCAAGGGATCCTGGAGAAAACGTACCTGGGTGGGGTCATCAGAGGAAATCAGCTTAATCCATTTGCTGCCATGCTGATACCTCACCAAAAGCAGCCACAGCTGATGGTTCTACCACGTTGGGCAGAGCTGTTATTGAGATCTATTTGTTGTCCCTCTTATGCATGCATCCATTGGTTAACTTTTGTACCTGCCCTGACCCAGGATAGAACTCATAGCCTTGGCATAGCAGGATGATGTGCCAACCAACTGAGCTACCAGCCAGGGCTGGGGGTTATAAATTCAGCACATGGATTTATGGACACAAACATGCAGACCACAGCATGGCCCAAGGTGCATCCAGTGCACTGTATTTCCAAATGTGAAGCACTCTGTTGAACTACTGATTTAATTCCTAATTAAATTTGTACTGGTTTAATTCACAACTGCATTTTTAAAAAGCCATATATTGGTTATCTTCACAATATTCACACTGCTCTGGCAGACATTGAAAATAATGGGACTTCATCTCACTCCAAATTCTTTGTTCTTCCTTGCTACCTCGGGTTGAGAGAGGTCAGAGGGGTGTCCTCATTCATTGAGAGACAGAAATGTGAGTGACACTCACACACACAGTAACCACTCAGGAGGGTGACGATGTCCCGGCAGAAATTCGTGAGAGGTCGGCACCTCCTGCAGGGGGATTTGAGACAGGACAAGTGTGTGTGTGTGGATCACTGAAGGGCAGACACTTCTCTGTGTCCTGTCTGTATCTGTGTGTGTGTCTCTCATGGGTCTCATTTCTTGACCCAGGATTTTTAAGTCACAACAGAATACTGCATGGCAATTAATACTCCTGTCCTCACACCCAACCCTAAACCTGGGAGGTCTCAGAAAAGTGGAATTTTGTTCAGGGTGGAGGAGTTCCATGGCTCCTGACATACAAGGCTGCTCCCAGGTTACAAGGGACCAACCCCCTTCTCTCACTAACAGGGACTCCAGGGTGCAGGGACCTGCAGGGACCCTCCTGAAATATCCCCTGACCTTCCCCTTCAAACCTGCCCAGCTCATGTGTAAGGGGCTGTTCAGGACCAGGCAGGCTCATCAAGTCCCACACAGAGCACTGCCCACTCTCAGCTCTGAGTCCCTCCTGGGCTGACCCCTCCTGGTTCTGCCCTGAGAGTGGATGCAAGGCAGCCCTCACCTGGCTGGTCTGAGCTCCACAGCTCTGTGCAGGGATTCCTCAGGCAGGGTGGCTCCTGATCCCAGTTACAGGGACAGAGTGTGTGGTCCTAACCTTTCTGCAGATATGCCACTATCATGTCATCTGTCCTGTCAGTGACACCATCTGTGTGGGGAACCTGAGGCGCCTCTAACAAAGAGCAAACTTGCCCAATGCAGATCACCCTCAGGCATGTCTGGTGACTGGGGACAGTGATGGCCATTACTGAGATGCCCTCAGAAAAAGCGGGCAGGAGGCAGAGAAAGTGTCCCCTGTTCCTGGGGAGAGCTGAGCTTAGAGTCACATGGCATTGGGATGCAGGGACATCTGGGCCAGGAGCCCATGTCACTGTGTTTCTGACTGGGCTCTTACCTTCAGCTCCTGCTCTTGTTTGCAACCTGGCCCCAAGTCCCTCACAGTGATCATCTTGTATGATCCAGTAGCTGAACTCTGTATAAATTCCTTTATTTTTAAATTAGAAAATTTGGGGTTCATTATTTGTCCAGAAAGCAATAAAGGAGATAATTGCAGAGAATGAGCATTTGGAGATTCTTATTATGTTGAACCTGGAGTCACTTTCTAAATCTTCTGCTTGACTTTCCCCCATGGTAGAGAAAATAATATGGGTCTGCCACAAAATACTCAAATGTCTCCCCCAAACTGCTCTCAGAATTTTGGGCATAAAGCCCAAAATATTATGTTTTATATTTAAAATAATTTTTTCTTCATATTTTCCATCACCATTTATCCCCTGATACCCTCTTCCACCTCCCAAGCCCTCCCACATGCAATTTCTACACTGTTCTCTGTGTCCATGAGTTTAACTTTTAAAATTTTTCAGTTTCACTTAACATACAATATTATATTAGTTTCAGGTACACAACTCTGGGATTAGACATTTACATAACTTATTAAATAATCACCCCCATATATCTAGTACCAATCTGACACCATATATAGATATGACAACATTATTGAGTACATTCTCTAAGCTACGCTTTACATCCTACTAATAAATATTCAGGGTTGATATGGGACAACCATCATATTTTCACTGACTTGGGTGGAAGTAATAATAGAAGCTAAGGAGGATGAGTGTAGAAGTGGTGAAGGGCTCAGTAGGACAATCTCAGAATATCTCCCCATAAATTACTAATGAATGACAATCACCAAGTGGTGAATCTATGATGGGGAGACCTGGACGTCACCAACCTGGTGAGTCACCAAGGTGAATATGCCCACTGTCAGGACAGGGAGGTACAGAGTCCAGTCCTTGTTCTGTCCTCTTCCACAGTCCTGGCTCCCTTGGTGGCCTCATCCGCACTCACAGCTTTAAATGTCATTTTTGTAGCATCACCTCAAAGTCTATGTCTCCAGCCCAGACATTTCTCCTCAAGGTCCCCACACTCATCTGTCCAACCTGACACCTCACTGGTGTTTCCAACACACATCTCACCTTGACCTTCTCTTGGCCCTCCCCCTCACATGCTCCTGCCAGAGTCTACCCCATCTCTGCTGATGTAAGCCCATCCTTCTGCTGGCACACTATAAATGTGGGGTGCCCTTCTTGACTCCTTTCCCACACCCCACATTGAATCCTTAGAAAATGCTGTGAAATTCATCTCCCAAATGCATCCAGTGTCCAGTCCCTTCCCACTGTTTCCACCACTCACAGCCCCATCAGAACACCCAGCACCTGCAGCCTGGAACCATGGGAGCTTCCCCACACCTTTCCCTCCTGCCTCACTGGTCCCTTGTCTCCTGATTCTGTCCTCAGCTCAACAGCCAGACTGATCCCGTGGCCTGAGGGCTCTCTCTCGGGGAGGAACTCTCAGAGGAAGCCACTAAGGGCATTGGCTTCTTGGCCATGACCTTCCAGGACTCAGCATCCACAGGATGGGAGCAGGGTCTACCATGGATTAAGGACAGTGGATGCTAAAACAGTTACTGCTATAAGCAGGTGTTCCTCACTTTCTGATTGGTCAGCTCTCTGAATCCCACATGGACACCCCTGAGGTCTACAAGTCAGGGCCCCGGAAACTTGGGATGACTCTAGGCAAGAAAGCGGCACTTGGTTAGAATCAGGGGACTCAACCAGCCATGGCCAGAGTCTCCAAAGGGTCACATTCGGATGTGTGGGAAGGAACCCTTAATTGTCCATGGAGCACAGGTGGTCACAGGGAACATCACTGGGGAGCCGTGAGGTCCTCTTGTAACATGGCACACAGTCTGTCCCTCCTGGGTTGTCTCCACACCTCATGGTAAATGTATGAATGTCAAGTGTATTAAAACAGCTTAACAAACAGGATGAAGGTGTAGACAGAATAACACCTACAGGAAACAATACACCTTGGAGCTTTGAATCTACATCTCTTTTGATTTACTTATATATAATATTAAAATAATGCAGGGACATTGAGATGATTAAATAAGGTTCTGATGCTGGGTGCAGAAACAGCAGACAGGCACCCTTAAAGTCCCAAGAAGAGCCTGAAGTGACTATTTTAGCACCAACTCCTGGAGAAAGCAGCTCTGTCACCCTGGAAAGAAAGTTATTGTGAAAAATTCAGGTCAGTCTCAGAAGTGTCACATTCTCCCACAGCTACCACATGCTCAGAATATCCCACTCTGAGAATCCCCAAAACTCAGCTGGGTCCCTGGGTCCCAATGTCCCCCACTCCTTGCCCTGAGGGTCTCACCCTTAGGAGCTGTGAGAGACACATCAGAGCCCTGGGAACTCTCGCTGCCTGGGGAAGACACAACAGTAGATTACAGTGTGGGGAGGCCCCCCTCACAGATCCAGTCCACACTCTTTCAAGGGTCTCAGATGCCACCTCCCCAACACCCAGACTTACAGGCAGCCTTTTCGTAGCTCTCCCTGCCTCTGCCTGTGGGAAGAAAATGATCTGTGAGAAGTCAGGGGGAAGGCTGGGTCCTCTGACCCTAAAGGAGCCTCATACTCTGAAGCACAGGGAAGGTTCCAGGACTGTGACTAAACACTCATGTTAGGATCCAGAAACACAGGGAAAGTACATATGTGGGGACTGGACCTACCACCACTCTGGACATCTGTCCTCAGCAGGGACCTTTCCCTCTGGACTCTGACAGATGGGAATCAGTCCCCATCAGGTGATAAATGTGTCCCTCACTTTCCCAGGGGCCTCACTAAAGAGTCAGTGTTAGGAAATAGGCCCCAGATGGACAAGCATCCGTGTGAGGACATGATGCCCATTAAGGAGGCAGAGCACACTTCCACCTGGGCTTGACCTCCAGGGGGACAGGAAACTCAGCCCCATCCCTTGCCCACCTGAGCACTTCCTCCTCCACAGCACAGCTCCAGTGACCACAGCTCCAAGGAGACCAAGGGCAGCAGCAATGACCATGATGGTGATGGTGGTCTGAGGAGGGGGCTCTGGTTGGGGAAGGTGAGAGGTCAACCTCAGGCCTGAGTCCTGACCCTGCTCAGGGACACCCTGAGGAGAGGCTCTGTGCCCACATCCCCTCCTCACCCCATCTCAGGGTCAGGGGCTCAGGCAGCCCCTGGTGCTGCACATGGCACGTGTATCTCTGCTCCTCTCCAAGGGGCACAACCACAGCTGCCCACTTCTGGAAGGTTCCATCCCCTGCAGGCCTGGTCTCCACAAGCTCCATGTCCTGGGTCAGGTCTTCCCCTTCACGCTGCCAGGTCAGGGTGATGTCCGCAGGGGAGAAGCCCAGGGCCCAGCACCTCAGGGTGACCTCATGGTCAGAGATGGGGTGGTGGGTCAAGTGTGTCTTTGGAGGGTCTGAGGGGACAGTGAGAAAATTCGGGAACTTTGCATGATCACGGGACACTCCAGCAGTGCTCAGGTGACCACCCTGAGAGTGGACAGGACAGCTGGGGTTGGGGTGCACCACCCAGACTCCAGCCTGGACAGAAGCACCTTGGATATTCTCCTATTTCTTAGAAAGTTCCAGAATCAGTGTGAGAACCTGGGGCAGGAGTGTCTAGGTCTCTAAGAGGAAACACACACTCAGGTGGAGGCTGAATGACTCTGAAAAGCCAGAGTCAGGCCTCCAGAGGGGGTCTCAGCCCCAGAACCAGGGAGAGCGTCCTGGAGCACCAGGTGCTGCAGGGTGTGAGGGAACCGCTGTGGGGTGTTTCAGGGAGAGGCTGGGTCCCTTACTGTCCTTCAGAGAAAGCTGGGCCCGTGGCTGAGTCACAGAATAGGGAGACCTGGGGGACTCTTCCCTCCCCGGGCAGGAGGGAGATTCTGACACTGTTCCATTCCCCTCCTCTGCTTGTAGGAAGCCGCCCCAGCCCACAGATCCCCTCCTCGGGGAGGCCCGCACCCTGGTACCTGCTCGGAGCAGAGTCTCCTTCACCTTCTCCAGGAACCCGCGGAGCCGGTTCGCGCACGTGTGCTCCAGGTAGGCCCTCCAACCCTCCACATCATCTTGATGCAACAAATTGCGCCTAACGGTGATCTGGGCGGTCGTGTTGCCTTCGGTGGTGGAACTCAGGTCCAAGTTCAGGTTGAAGGTTTCGGTGCCGTCGTAGGCATACTGACCGGACCCGCTGAGGAAGCGCCCGCCAGACCCCACAACGCAGGCAGTAATAATCTGGAAGGTGTGAGACCCTGACCGCGCAATAAAGTCAGCCCCGCGTACTTACTCCTGCTGGAAGACAGACGTTCCCTGCTCCCAGCCACTCGAGACCTGACCCACCCCGCGGGGACTAATGGAAACTGGGTGAAAATAAGACTGGGTTAGGATCCCTGTGGGCTCTTCCCAGGACGGGCACAGGGCGGGTCTCGCAGCCCTGGAGGGATGTTCGGACCCACAGATTCGGAGAGACTCCTGCCCGTCTGTGGGGATCGGGGTTGTGCCCGGATCCGGGCGCTCGTGGCTCACCGTCCTCGCTCTGGTTGTAGTAGGCGCGCAGGTTGTTCAGTTTTGCTCCGGAAAACTGTTCGCAGAACTTGCAGCCCCGCGTCTGTTCCGCCCAAAAGTCTGGGTCCTCCTGCTCCACCCACGGCTGCTCCTTCCAGGGCAACCCCGGCTGCGCCCTTGGGTTCGGGAGGTCACTGTCGAAACGCAGGACCTCCGTGTCGTCCACGTAGCCGACCCCGATGTACTGGGGCTTCCCGAGTCTGGACATTAAGGTGCCGAAATATCTCAAGGTGTGTGGGCCTGGGAACAAGGAGGACGCACATCTTGAGTCTGCGGTGGGGCGGGTAGCAGCGGAGGTCCCGGGGAACAGCAAAGGATTCGGTGGTTGAGAAGAGGAGTGGGGGCGGGAGGAGGGGAGGACAGAGGTGCGGGTCTGGGGTCTGGGGTCTGGGGACACGCGTCCGCGTCCCCGGGTTCTGCGCCCCCGCCGCCGGGTCCCCTCCTTCCTGCTCCACAGAGGCCGTCCCCTCCCGACCCCGCACTCACCGGCCCAGGTCTGGGTTACTGTCAGGGCCCCCGCGAGCAGCAGGAGAAGGGCTCGGGGTTCCATGATCCGGACCCTGAGCGTCTTGGGAGAAAGAACTCGGGTACTACTTGAAGACTTTATACTCGAAACCACGGTGACACCGACTGGCTTGTGCAGAGCTGGGACATACAAACCAGAATCGCAGCAGAACGTCAGGAGTATCCAGGCAGAAGGACCCGTGAGAAGGAGAAGGGAAACCTGGGGAGAAGGGCACACCCCAACACTGAGAGTCCCCGCCCCAGACGCCGGCTTCGGGCTGACACCCTGGGAACCTGGCTTGGGGACCTGGGACTCTGCCCCAGCCCCTCCTCCTGCACGGAGAGCTCTGTCCAGCTAGCTCCCTGAGTCGGGGCCCATGTACTGTTGGATTAAAGGACTCTCAAAGATTTTGTAACAGAATATCTATATAGTCTTACAAAATAGGGTGGATCCCCAAATGATTTTGTTTGCGTGAGTTATAGCTATCAATATTTACCCTGCAAGGAATAAAGCAGTTTGAAAAAAATTAATTCATTTGGGAAAATATTAATAACGAATGATATCTTAAAAGAAATAATATTTTTATGAAGAATCACTATTTCCAAAATAATTGAGGCAGTGAGAAGAGTGGATCTGCTTAAGTTTTACTTTTTGCAAGTCTCAGTGCTTGTCTGTATCATTAGCAGTCCGCTGGATTTTCAAATTTGCTGCTGTGTTTAATCTGTTATTTTGGTTGCAGTATGTGAAGAAATATACAGCCTCACACAAATATTTAGGAGGAGCATTTTTACTAACCTTTTCAGATAAGTGTGGATATTCAGCTTTGATCATGCACTAAAGCCACACAAGTGGTAGTTCCTGAAAAGCTCTTTGCAAAGTGGAACCTGAAACAAATCCACTGAGTGTTTCCTATTCTGTTACGTTGCTTGAGTTTCTCTTGTACTGATGTAGGATTATTTAAAAATAATGCATTGTTCCACTAAGTGATAGAGATCTCCCAGTGTTGATGTGTTTATTATACATCATCAAAAATTACCGCAGACCCCACTGAAAATGGTTGTCAGCTCTGGGAAGCTGTCTGGCTGCCGTGGGGAGACACACGTTTGCCAAAACCCTAGTTTTCCTCTGAGAGCTTCCATTCCATCCAGACAACAAGTGCTATCAGGTGTCAACTGCCCCCATGACTCATAAGAAAGAAGCTCATGTTCATTTGAGAAAGTGTTCGCCAGTTCACCACACCTCAGTCATCACAGGTTCTGTGTCTCTCATTCTCTTAAGTGACCTTGCTGTTCTGTGAAGAAGAGGCTGACTCAGCCCTCACAGGTCACTTTCCTGGGCTCATGACACTTGGGAATGAATGTAACAGAAGTGTGTTTGTGCACTTTCCCAGTCATCATAGGAGACATTTTACATTTTTATTATCCATTTCCACTAAGGACAGTTAAGAAATTAATCCATTTGTATGATGAATTCAAGACATACTTATCTTCTTTTAAATGTTTTTTAATTTTTCAGTTACAGTTGGTGACCAATATTATGTTAGTTTCTACACAGCTCTGCTGTCTTCATTTGTCTGTGAGGGTCTTAGATATATCCCCAAAATACAGCATACCCAAGAAAGATTAGTTAATATGCACTTAACAATTAGAGTGTATAGACATCAACAAAAATGTGATGTAATGTTGTGCGTGGGTCACCAGCCAGCAGTGACCACGGAACGCTGTGGATGGCTCGACGATAAACACGCGAGAAATAACAACATGCACAGAGACAAACTAGTTTCTGTGGGGAAGTAGGGACGAAATGGCCACCCCCCTAGTGGGGAGCGCACCGATTTACCGTCCATACCTGCTTTTATTGGGCTCATTCTGCATAATAATTCAGGTAAAGTACAGTACTCATTAGGGGGAAGTAAGGAACCACAGAAAACAAAGAGCTCTGCCGGTCTATTGAGTTGGAGATCAAAGAGCTGTAAGACTGAGGAACAAAATAACTTTCTCCTAAGACCCTTCTCATTCAACTGAGAGCATTCTAAACAAAGAAGGTTTCACAGTAATTTACATGTTCTTTCTTAGGCCTGATCACCCCGGGGAATCCGCACTTCTCAGTACAGAGCTGCACCACCCTGTCATTGTTTCAGGCTTAGGTGGAGTAAGGGAACTAAGGCAACTGGGAGACAAGGAGGTTTTCTTCCAGATGCTGAGAACTCAGGCTATGTCAAAGCCGAGGAGCGAGGGTCCATCACCCCCTTTTGCTGTAGCCCCCCAAGTCCTTCTTTTGGGGGGGCCTGCCAAAGTGATCGTGCCTGTCTTAGGTCATTCCCCCTGTGGGGAATCTTACCCGTCTTTGGCTAACCGACCAAGCTTTTTGGGGGTTCAGTTATGAATAAAGCAGCAGAAGCAGCATTCCTGCCAGGAAGATAAGCTTTTGTCTCCTTGCTGGCTTACAGTTCCAAGGGCGTTCCCTTAGCCTTAGCCTAGGCGGGGGTTTCATCTTCTGATACCAGTCAGGGCGGTTCCCAACAATGTAACACCTTAAGGTTGTAAATGATCAAAAACACTCTTCACTGGAGCTGGTCCTTGTGTACATCACTTTGGGACCCTTGGTGTTGTTTTTGTGAACCTGGAGACATCAGCAGGTACACATGTCTTTGTTAAGTTAAGAAATAAATACGTGTGAGCACAACATGAACCACATTCCTATGGGCCCTGCACGTAATTAAAGATCTGTAAAGAGGAAGATGTAAACATTGGAGTTCCAACTTAGATTTCTTACCGTTTTTAGTTCCCCCTATTTCCCCCAGAATTCAAGCAATTCTGTTTTCTTTCACCCTCGGATGCCTCTCCCCTAGATGAAAATATATATGAAGTTTTTACAATTGTGGAATGAAAAATTCTCTAAGACCAAAAGATGACAAAGAAGGAAAACATAAAACTTTTCTAGGTCAACCAAACGCTCCGGAGATACAAGATCACCCCTGTAACCAAATGCCAAGACACATAAAAATGTTGACAGAGAAAGGTAACGTCTGCCAGTGTTCTTCCGCCAAAGGCCCCGACAGGCGCCTGGGGCAGACAGCGGGCTGTGTGCACTGCTGCCTCGAGGTGGAGTGCACACCCCGGGGGCGTGGGCACCTCTGAGGGACTTGGTGAGACAGGATGTGCCCCAGACCTGGGCTCTGGTCGGAGATCTCGGGAGGGTCTGTGGGCACAGGGGCCCTTCTAGATTGGCATCGTGAGGACCTGGGGGCAAGTCTGTGATTGGGCATCTCAGGAAAAACCTGGGGATGAGGCAGACAGGAGCAAGGGTGAGGGATGATAGGAAAGTCACTGCCTTCCCTTCTGTTGGCGGGCCTGGGAGCTGCTTGGTCGTGTGTGAGCTGCACCATGTCTCGTTTCTGTCTGTGCTGAGACAACACGCAGTGTGGCGTTGGTCTGTCTCCTGTCGCTGTGGTCTTGGGACACTCTTGTCTGATGCTGATGTTCTGTGACAGCAGGTATGTCCAACCATGTATCTGTCTGGCAAAGATGAAGGAACCTGATGAGTGTTCCAGCCTGAGGGTGGGGAACACATTCTGTTGTAAAGTTTGAAGGGATTGAAAACTGGGACAAAAATCCTGAATGATGCTTTTGTAAAAGGTCTCAGCAATTTAAATGTGATTACATTTTGACATAGAAATTCCTCCATTAGGAATTTGTCCTAAGAAAATAATCACATGTACTTCAAGAATATTTATTCAGGGATATTTCTTGTGTTGTGGTTTTATAAAAGGAAATTGATGGAATGTCTCTAAATGCTCCAATCAATAGAATATGTTAACTCTTACCAGAGGATTGCTTAACGTGTCTCACGCAGTAACACCATGGGATCTACATAGAAGGTCAAGTGTAAATCCATTGGGCACTTGATGTGGGATCCTTGTGGGGCACAGAAGAAAGGAGACTGAGAGGTTCCCGGTGGTGGGGCTGCAGTGAACACAGGGTGTTTTCTCTCAGAGCCTTGATGACTCACTTTCACTTTGTCCCTTGGCAGCTGTTGGTACTGGATGGGCCTGGGCCTGAGCAGTTCTGCCTCAGGCCAGGCTGTTGTGTGTGGTATTTGGTTTGTAGTGAGTGGCATGTGTATGCTTGACTTCCTCTGGATAAGATTTCACAACACAAGTCCAGGGGATTTTGAAAGTATGTTTATTTAAACTGGGGAAATCGACATTAAGGAAGAACTTAGGGTAGAAGTAACTGGAGAGAGCCTAGGTGGGGCCGCTCTGGTTCTTGGAAATGTTACAGGAAAGGAGTGAGTCAAGACCGGGCTGTTGTCAGCTCACTGGGAAGTAAAACTCCCAGAGACAGAAGTGAGCCAAGGTGGGGCTACTGTCAGCTCACTGGAGAGTGAGGGAAAAAGGGGACCTTAAAGTCAGGATGGGAGATAAGCCCAAGATCAGCTGCCGCTGCCTGCTGCTCGCCTGGTTGATAATCTCAGGGAACCGCAGAGTTCAGAAGGAGAGAAAGTTCATGTCTGACACAGGATGTGGGTGTGCTCTAGAGTGAGCTGCCCCAGGTCTCTGTCTGGAGGGTTTTTATCGCTCTTCTCTGGGTGAGAATCTTAGGGGAGGCTGTCAGCAGAATATTCATCAGTTTTCCAGGGGTGATTTTAATACACTGATGCATCAAAATGAGTGCATAGTTGGGTTGGGGATTATCCTCTGGTCAGCTCCACTGGTTTACTTTTATCTTAGTTCTGTCTGGCTGTAATTTTTTTGTTGCTGTTGTTGTTGTTATTTGTCCCCCTGACTTCATCTGGCCTTGGGTTCATCTGCTACAAATGGCATTAATTGGGTTTCTGTTGCTTGTATTACAACCAGAGTGATTTACACTATGCATTCTCCTGTTAAAAAAGAAACATACAAGCAATTTGTTCTCAAGTGTCTTTGGTTAGGAGAGATAAGGTCTTGTAATTCACCAGTTGGCTATAAGTTGTTCAGACTGTTTGGCCTTCCTTAATTTCCTTGTGCAGTTTCCCCATTCCACTTGCACAGTTTTCCTTGCTTCTTACAATCCTGCCTTGCTGTGACTCTGCACTCCATACAAGTGAACTGTTGCAATGTTCCAGAATGTTCTGTGATAGGAGGCTGCTGGGCTCAGAGCTTAGGAGGACAACAAGGGGCAGTGTACCTTAGCTATCACATCCTCAGGCAAGTTCATCATCCAGCATGGATTTCAAGGTCTCCACTAAATCAGAATTAGAGTCTGGAGACAGAATGCAGAGCAAGAGTAGGACTCTGGTTCTGTGACTCTGGCAC